AGCACCTGGTCCGAAAGAAGGTTCCAGGATTGTTCTTGGTGGTAAATTACGGTAAGGATAAAAACTGCCGGCGTAATGTTCCATGACCCACTACTACCGGCTGTAAGTGCGACTCAAATTGTCGAATATTATGTGGGCATCTTTGATAAATTACGTAAGGATACTGTCACTTATCACAAAGGTGTTTGCAGTTTGGGGCGAAGCACATTAGACGGTGAAAAGAGCGTCCGTCCACTAGCACAACAGTCTGCGAGAATGTTGACCAATATGCTGCAAAATATTTATAATCAAATGGAGCCAATGATGGAAACTGGATTCGTCATTCTTTCCTAATGAGTCGTCTCTTTTTAAACTTGGTCCAGGTATGATTTGAACTAATTCTTACTTTCACAGATAGACCAAGGTCAAATTAATGTGCTTGTGAACATGCTGATTCAATTTTATAATTTTAAAATGGTTCAATGCAGCAGTGCTACAATATGCGGAGCCAAAGCGCGCTTTCACCCAGGCGAAAGTATCTTTTAATTACGATAACCTCATTCCGTAGCTAGAGTCTGCTCCTCAATTTTTGTTATTTCTGGCTTGCATGTGTCAAGAGCTGTCGGCTGAAGGGATTGAGGAATGCGTACGTAGCCTCATTGAGTGTATGCAGGCACCTTGATCTCGGCCTTTTAACGAGTCGATGGAAAATCATCGAATGAGCCAGCAAGATGTGATGCACATGGTCGAAGTAACTCGTGAGCCATCGAATGAGCTTCTTCTGCACGTTGCAAAGCACTATGGTAATCAATTGTGTCTCCTTGTCTACAATGGCGTGGCTGCTACGTCGTGGGCTAATATGGACGATGAATCAAGGAGTGTACAAGACATGATGGTCACGGTTGTTGAAGCTACGTTTCGAATTGGTAAAAAAGTCGCGCTGGCATTTAGTGACACTCAGAGTGTATACGTAAGCAAAGATACCCGCACAACTAGCCGCGACTTCTGAAGATGTGCGCGCGCCTTGCGATCTTGCAACGCAGCAACGCATCAATCACCAGTGCGCCACCTGATATGCAGCTCGACGTTGATCGATTTTCGCTCGAATAATTGACATATTTCCCTACCAGCTCGAGCTGACAACGGATGCTTTCATTCAGATAATGCTCATGATGTGCGTAAAGGGTTTTAGCGAATTGAGCTCTCGAAATTTGGATTGCAGCAAATTCAGGTGAATGCCGAATTCCTGCGTAGTTAGTACATTGCTGCACATTGTAGCTATTGGAGAGCCTGGAGAAGAAATGGAGGGACTTTTGTCGGATCTTTTGTCCACTGTTCGTGGACCTGCGGTTGAAGACATACTGATGGATCAGAGCAATGTCGTGGCCATCGTAAGCACGAAAAGTACCCAAGTTTTTGTCACATCGAGGATAATGTAAAAGCTGGATAAATTTACCTAGGTTTTGCACTTCTTTAGCTTTGTGATGTGGTGTTAAAAGTTATCTTTATCTTTGTGTAAATATAACGTATAGCTAAATTATGTAGCATCAAGCTTGAATTAAGAAACATTACCGCATTCAATATACATAGTCTGCAAGAATGTAGATACTGTTACTTCATAAGTATTTGCCCCCCAAAAAACAAATAACGCAACTGGATAACACGAATGTCTGACCTGAAAGCTAATTTCGAAGCTGCTGCCGAGGCCGTCAAGACGCTCACCAGCCTCGTGCGTGTTAAATGTCTCTAGGGAAAACTTGAATGGATTTTACTAACTGTTAAGTCTTGCTATCGCAGAAAAACGATGAGAAACTCGCAGTGTACTCTTTATACAAGCAAGCCACTGTAGGAGACAACACGACGGCCGCTCCTGGTATGTTTGACATGCGTGGCAAAGCCAAGTGGGAAGCTTGGAATACTAAGAAGGACATGTCCTCGGAAGATGCAATGAAGGCTTACATTGCTGAAGTAGAGAAGCTAAAAAGTGCTTATGCCTATACGTAGTTGCCACGATATGATTCTAGCTCTCTCGTCGACCTCAGCTGAGGTGGTAACCAAACGATTAATAGAGTTGGGACCAAATCGGCTGCAAAGTCGTGTGTTTGATTCGTTCTCTTAAAACGTGTCAGAATGTTACACCCTACTTAATGAATACGTGAGCATTCTTCACGAAATGATAATATTTATCCATCGAGACAACACCTATGACCGCTGAGATCAACGGATACGATCCAAAACTCACAATATCGATGCCAATCTGCTGCCACTTCCGACGGTAGCTGCCACTTTGAGTAAGCCAATGTTAAATTATTGTTGCCCCGACCTTGGCGTCAACCTTCGCCTTTATCCGGTTGAAGTCCGACATTAGCTTATTTATTTGATCGGTATGCTCCCCCAATTTTGCAGACAATAAAATTTGCTGCGTCGCGAGCTGCTGCTGCGTTTCAGTATTTTGTGTAAGCAGACGCATGAGAAGCTCCTCCATCTGCTCAGTTGCTGCCGTTGAAAAATGGGTCATATTCATTGGCTTGTGTTCGACTTTATTTCCTTCAGATGGGGATAACGCCATTTGATTCGATGATGCAAACGATGAAATAGACGAAGTCGTAGTCGAAGTTGCTGGAGATATTGGTGCCTTGAGCTTTCTTCGATCAAAGCCTTGGATCTCGTTTTGACCAGCACAATGTGCCATATTCGCAACTTTCTCTGCTGTTTTACAACTCAATTGTTCTTTAGCTTGATCAATCACGTTGTTGTCTTCCTCGATTTCGACCTGCTTAACAATTTCAGATGTTGCAATCTTTGAAAGATTTTCACTAGCTGCTAAAGCTAGCCGCTCTAGAATGGAGACATCGCACGCTTCTCGTGGGCGTGTGTCCAAAACGAAAACACTCCCGACTGCGTGGCCCGAATTGAAGTCGATAATTGGGGCAGCCGCATAGAATCGAATACCAGCAGCACCCGCAACAAGCGGATTTTTTTTAAATCGATCATCCTGGAGCGTGTCCAGTACGACCACTGATTCTCTTGCATATACCACATAAGTGCAAAATGCAATCTTGCGCGGGATCATTTTGTGTGCCAGTCCAATACTTGCTTTAAACCATTGACAGCGTTCGTCCAAAAAGCTTACTGCAGCCATAGGGCAACACAAACGCGTTTTGGCGAGATCACAAATTATATCAAAAGGCTGTTCAGACTCAAAGTCTAGAATTTTCAACGCGTGCAAAGTTCGAAGCCTGTCTTCTTCATTAGTACTCACAGGTGGTCGAGGCCACGGGTGGACCCAATCCGACGATACTTCGTTGTTGTTTCCTTCACTCGAGTAATTTTTCGTGCGATAAGTTTCATCATTACACTCTGCTTGAAAGTGATCATCTTTCATCTCGAGATGTTCACATTGAACTTTAAAATTGTCGTCTCTAAGCTCAAAGTGTTGGTGTGGCTTGGTTGATGACAAACGTAGCTGCAAATCTTCATTGTCACGGTCGAACGATGGACGAGACGCAGGTGAGAGTAGACGGCTTTGCAGCCACAATGCTTGTGCCTCCAATGTCATACTGCGACGCAAAGGAGCCGGGCTATGACATCCTTTTATAGGTCGGGCTGAGCAATTGAATAAGCATGAAATGCATACGCGTACGTGAGTAGTCCCAACTGTTGGACTGACATGAACGTCTTTGTAACGTGTGCAGTGCTTGCAAACAACTTCTCCACACTGTAGCAAGCAAATCCAAAAGGATCAATGATCATCACTACTTGTCAGCAGTGTTTAGACAAAAAACTTAATACAGAACTCACCATACGACAGTGGTGCTTGCGACGAAAGGTTCCAAATGGTCTACTGCAGACATTGCACAAAATGCGTTCATGATCTGCGACCCAATTTTGCGAATCGACGAGATGAAGTACGAAAGGGTTATCCAGAGTCATATTGTAGTTTGACAGCGTGATAAAAGGTTTCAAGAATGGTGAACGATTGCGCGCTATTGATAAGGAGAGATCGTAGCGGATTGAATCTACTTTGTTTGTGGCAAAAAAGACGAATGATGCTGCTAAGGGGGCGTGGGTACTGACAATCAGGCAATCTAACGAAACGTCCGACCAACTACGTGGTGTTCCAAGAAGGAGTCGGTTGCTCAGCACAAAAAATGCGTAAAATAGCGACATTTGGAGCTTTTGGAAAGGTTATTCGATTGCTATATTTCGATCTTCCCCTGCTTCAAACGCTCACGATTTCGTTGGAGAACGCATAGGACTATTCCAGCATTAGTTCAGTCCTAACCGCGCTTGCGAAAGGTTTACTATTTTCTACGCGTCGTACAATCCGCAAGTTGAATCTGAAGCCGTCAAGAGCGTTCATTGATTCCCTCGAAATTCATTCATTGCTAATGGTCGTACACAATCTTCTCGTGGTTCAAGAAAATGGGCATGAGTTAGGTAACAGCTTTCGCGTCACACCAGTTAATGAGATAGCGTTTTAATTTAACAGTACATGCAACCCTTGATACATAATCTTCAAAAGACTGGCATGAGCATAACCAGCGCCAACAGTAACAGGTAAAGAAAGAGCCATTGCTTGGCACCTGCCACTGCGGTAAATGTCTTCAATATTACATGCATCGAAGATTCTACCATCAAAGAATGGTAATTTAACAAATGCCCTAGTATTTTCATCCAATTACATGCTGACTATACGGATATGCCCCCGCATTTCAAGTTTTAGAAAAAATTCGACGTCATGCGACTTTTTGCTACGCGAAACCTGGCGCGTTTAGTGCGTGGACGAAGCTTTAAGGTACAAGCTGTCAGGAAATCATAAAATTTCCTGTTTGCTTTGCTTTCTCTGTTTATTTATGATTACCAATCTAAATAGTGTCATCGTTCGCTCTAGCTCCATGATTTAGCTCTGCGTCAAGCATTGCTGCTGAGCGGCTTAGGACTGTCAATGGTTTCGCTTGCTCATGCTGAGATATCGGGTGTGTGTTCTACCCAAATGGAAGCACAATGTAACACCCGCTACGCTCCTTCAGGAGTAGATGAGGCATTTTCCTTACCACTTGAGCGCGAGGAATCTGCGCTTATTTCTAAGTCGCGTGCAACGCGAGTAAGTACCGCTTCGTACAAAGCAAATTTTCCTATCGAAGACAAATACGCGATGGAGATGACAAGCTCGGGCGATGTTTTCGTAGCTGTGCTGGATGGCCATGGTGAGTGCTTCTTGAGAGTTAAAGCTATGTATCTCATTCAATGCCTTGTTATGTCAATGTAAGGTGGCTGGCAGGTATCAGAATATGCTCGCAAAACCTTAATTGGTAATGTACAGACAGAGCTAGCGAATTTATACAAGTCGGGGACAAGTGAGCCAGCTCAAGGTGATGAAATGTTCGTGTCTGACGATCGCGTGACTGCTGCTATCCAACGTGCTTTCGGACGCACAGATCGTGATCTCATGACAGAAGTTGCGTCAGCTTTTAAGCTGGGATTTGGAGCGGTTGCACGCTGCGGATCATGCGCATGCCTGGCCTATGTGCACGACGACACTCTTTACGTTGCCAACGCTGGTGACATACGTGCAGTGCTCGGAAAAAGTGGAAAGGAAGACGGCGTGATAGGTGCAGAGCCGCTCAGCAATGATCAAAATGCCATGGTGAAGTCGGAACAAGAAAAACTCGTCAAAGAGCATCCAGGTGAAACAAACGTGTTTACATGCCGCCACCCAACTTCGTGCTATGTAAAGGGCGCGTTGCAGCCTACGCGCTCTTTAGGTGATTTTGCGCTTAAGCATCCGGAATTCAACGGACCACCGTACAAAACCGGTGATCGCTCTGCTGGTCGTCACTTTCCAGCTCCCTACACGCCGCCTTACATCTCGGCTGTTCCAGAGGTCAAATCGCATAAGCTCGTGAAAGGAGACAAATTTCTCATTATCGGATCAGATGGATTGTGGGACTACCTAAGCAACGAAGAGGCTGTTGAGATTGTCAACGCACAAAGTCTGTGTGGAAACCACGATCTTGCAAGTCGTGCGTTGGTCGAACGTGTTCTTCAAAAAGCAGCGAAAAGGTACGAAATGACGTATCAGGAACTCTTAAGTTTGCCTCCTGGGAGCCATCGCCGTCGCCGCCACGATGACACGACAGTGGTCGTACTATTTTTTGAGTAGGGTTACGCTATGCTTAGGAACTCTTTGAGGACCGGTACGGAACTGTGGTGAATGGCATTTGTGTTCGCTGTTGAAATCGGCATGGTTGAGAAGTATGTTGCTAGTATTTTGGTTTATAGAGGAATTGAGCTTGTGTTTTTGTGTCTTGACGAGGAACCATGATGTTAGTTTCTCCTACTTCGATTGTTAGAACCAATCAAAGTAGGAGAAACTAACATCACAACATTGACAAAAATTAGTGCTTACAGATGCTGACACTTCGTCGATATTGAGCAAAAAGATGTAGCTGGTTGCTACACAGAACCTTGTTTGAGGAAACGTAAGGAGTACTTTTCGATCAATAGTCAAATTACGACGCACCTTTTGACCCCTTAGCGGGTATTCTACAAGAGTAGAATCGTCTCCTGCGGGGACAAGTCTATGCCCTCAAGCGATCAGTCCTGATGGGTGCAACCTTTGAAAATGTTTGGTGCTTTGAGATTACTTTTGCTTGCATTCCTATGCCAGGAAAGTTAAGATCACAGTGATCGCATCAAGCAGCGCGCTCCGGCGTCCTGTCTGCACGCCCCCGGGAGGCATTGTCGACCTCTGTGATGAGATGCAATCTCGTTTATCGCACTGGGACTCGAATTCTCATGCGCAATCCACAGCTCATGAGTAACCGCGATTCCAGAGTCAGGTACATCCAGGTTTGACCTTCGAGACGCAGGGCTACACTTTTCCCTACCAGAGACAATATCCCATGGTCCACAGCCTTCACCGAGTTGGTGCTGGCAGGACTCCCAGTCACAACCGAGCACGACGCCTCTAGTAGCACTACAGCGAGTCTCGTAGCTGTGAACAACGTCGGGGACATCAGACTTTAAGGCCTGACGAGGTCCTCATGTGTCCAGGTCTGATTGATAACCGCGCCACCGAACTCTGTAGAAGCGTTGATGATTCAACGACTTTTGTTCTACGATGACAAACTGATCGATCATCGTGATCGACAATCGTCTCAACCATCCAACGCCACAGCGGAGGTGGGGTCGAACGTGAAAGCGATTGAGCGACTCTGGAAGTGGAAGAGCTCATCGCGGGCAAATTGAGGCATTGCAGCAGTGGTACTCGGCGCTTAAAGATCGCTGCGAGGGCCTTGTTGCAGAGCAAAAATCGAAACGCGATGTTCTGACTGATTGGTTTGCCCAATGTTCGGCTTTGGAGTCCCGTTTTGAACTACTGTTTCAGCAGATTCATAATAGACTTATTCGACTCCGGAAAGATTAGAAGTCTCGTGAGCTGGCCCGCGAACACCTGTTGCGCTCTGTCGAAGAGGCAGGGTCTATCCTCGAGGTACTCCGCGGTGCTAATCATTCTCGCCTATAAGCATTGGAATCAGTAGAGGAGCAATACTTCGATGTCCCCTATGACGCTTGTACGCGGAGAAACTCTAGGGTGAGCAGCTGGTTATCCACTTATGGAAAAACTTCATGGTTAGCTCGATATCTACCAAAGGCGTAGTAGGATTGCCAGATCCACTTGGAAGATACGACTTTAGCCTACCCACATAAAACGTAGGATGTAGGCGCATGCGCGTAGGGATGGCTAATGTATACGCATCACCATTGCATTTCAATACCTTAAACGGTCCAATGAATTTTCCTAAAAGCTTTTTGCTTTCCAAGTTGAACACTGCATGTTCGGGTAGATCTGTCGTGCCAAGTAGAACAAAATCATTGACCTCATATGCCTTCTTGTTCTTCCTTCCGCTCTTGTCTGCTTGTTCTTTTTGCAGATGCTGGACTTTCGCAATTGCGTCTCAAACAAACTGCACAACGGCTTGTCTCGCAATAAGTGCTGTTCCTCACGACTTGTCATGATGCCTAGAGGTCTCATGCAGTCAGATTTCGCTTTTAACTCTGTGACATCATTTAGGCCGAAATGCGGCTGTAAAGCCATAATGCCTTCACCACTTAAGGTAGATACCTCGCACATTATGGGAGCACGTACTATAGGATGATTACCATAGTTCACATAAATTGGCGAATGACTTGTCGAGACATGCGCGGAGTTGTTCAACACAAACTCTGCAAGAGTGAGGAGTTCACTCCACTCTTTAAACGACGTGGTGTAACTACGCAGTAAGTCCTCCATGATTTGAGTCACACGCTCCATTTGCCCATCCGCATCAGGGTGTGCCGATGTTGAAATGGACGATTTGTTGCCCAATAGTCACGCCAAAACTTCGACTCGAAACGGGTGTCACGGTCAGACACGATCTTATAGTAAGACGAAAAATAACGTCCAAAGAGATCTTAGCTGTTTTCTCGGCAGAGATCGTGTCCGAAACAAGCGCAAGATGAACCATCTTTCTGAATCGGTTAATTGATTCCGGGAGGCCACTGCGTCCATGTGTGTCACTTGGTAGTCCAAATATGTAGAGACTTCCAGCTGTCGATTGGCACTACCAACGACTGAAATGGAGCCTGAGTGAAGCCCGATGGTTTCACTCTTCGGCAAATCTAACAAGTCCCTACATACTTGCGCACCCTTTAAACCCCGGAAAAGACTGAGACATGTTTCCTCGCGTCCGAGATGACCATGTTATGGTACTCATATAAGAGACGATGACTTCTGCTTTATCCTCGTGTTCAACCGCATAATACAGCAATCCATTGTTTACTAACAAATGGTAACCACGCGATTTTGTGCGAGACGGAAGGCCTTGCAGTGCTTTTCGGAAGGGTCTTTGACATACGTCAGCATGTTCTGACATAGTCCGGACCCTTAACAACGCATCGGCTAAGATGTTCGTCATGCCTAGCTTTTAGTGTACAGCAAAGTTGTACTCCAAAAAGAAGGAAAACCATCGAGCCATTCTTTGCGATAAATGAGGAGTCTTTACTGTCGTACGCAGTGATGCATGATCTCGAAGCGCTCCTCTCCATGAAAGTACACACGGAGCTAACCAAAGCATACTTCATTGCTAGAAGCGCTATGCCATGAGCTGGCTAGTTTCATTCCGCTGGCCGGAGTTGTCGCGACTGATTCGAAACAACTCGCTCTGGACTCTCATCATCGTGTTGCATCAACGCACAACCAATGGCATAATCACTTGCATCGTAGACCACGTAAAAAGTCTTATCGTAATTTGCAATCGCAAGAACAGGAGCTTCTATCAAGCTCTTCTTCTCTTCAGCAAATACCGCCCGGTTATCTTTTTTACCGTTCCCACTCAACGTTCTTCTTTAAAAGAGTCGTTAGAAGTTGCACCAACGCTGCATAGTTGCGCGTGTTTTTGTGCAAATATTTCGCTAAGCCCAACCATTGTCTCAGCTATTTCACATTGTTTGGCACAGGTCATTCGTTGATAGCTTTGACTTTCTCTGGATCTACATGAACGCCTTTCTAGCATACAAAGCAGCTGAGAACGGGGATCTCATATGCAAAGTATATGCATTCTTCTAGATTAGCGTCGAGTTTATTCTCTCGTATATCTTGGAAGATTTGACAAGATGATGATCGTCATCAAATTTCTTACCCGTTTCCTTACTGTGAACGAATATATCGTCAGGTAACTCAATGGAAGAAGATTAGTGACCATCGCGGGAGCGTTCTTCAAACCTTGTTGCATCACTAACCATTGTTACAGCATACCACTGGGGGTACTGACTGCAGTTAGTGCTGTATCAATATCTAACCTATTCGTATCTGACAGACTCCATCTTTCAGATCGATCGCACTGAAAACTGTACTGCCAACCATTTCATCAAGGAATATGTCCTTGCGAGGAACCGAAGTCTGGGCAGGTATGGTGGCATCGTTCAGTTATTAAAAGCGTGAAAAATGCGCCATCCACATGTGCCTTTCTTCACACAGAAGGTTGAACTACAATGCGAAGACTTGCTTTCACAGCCTTCTGTCACTGTGCAAACAACTCGTTTATTGCAATGACTTGCACTTTTGGCAACGTACACTGCCGTGTGATACAATACTTGTACCAGGAAGTATATCAATCTCCTGTCGAATGCTCAGTCAGCTGGCAATTTGCCCGGCACCTAGATTTATCAGCATATTCCTTGACAAATCCATACCCGGAATATATCCGTAGAGCGTCCCACAACTGTTCATTCAACCTTTTTTCATCAATTCTTCCAAAGTATAGATGACATCATCGACTGCTTCGTCGACGATCGCACACATTTGCAAAATTTCGCTTTTTGCTACGCTTCAGCCTCTTCTCTTCTTGGCGGCCTTCTTATTATTTTCTTGGGATGGGTCTTTGTCTCGTATCCCACAATTCTTTAAGAGTACCATCGACCATGAATTCCATATCGATGAAGTCAAGTCTTTTTCTGGCACCTGATTGCTCAACCTCTTTACTTTTGTCTTCTTGAGCTTGTCCTGCGAACATAGAGGCCGTCGCACACCACAATATCACTTGGGAATGTGTGACTTCTTCAACAGATGCACACGCCCATACCATTTCGTTGGTCATCATGCAGCTCGAATAAGCGCTGTACAACTTGTTGAAGACGATCTTCATATCCACCCAGTCAATGCTAAACTGGTAACGCTTTAACCGTGGCATATCTAGGATGATCTCATACTTTTCATCGAGGTTGAGTAGGATAAAATCGCTCTCACATCGGAAAACCTCAAGCTACATTGCCAAGTAAGAAATTTGCGTTGGTATAGCAGGCAAAAACTATGCCCAGTCATGACTTCGCTCGAACAAATTTATTCGACGCACCAATGTCAATCAAAGTTCGTAGTGGTTTCTCAAATCATCTATAACAATTTATTGGACAAACAAAGTCGCACATTGCCTGACAATATCATCACTCATGGTGAAAACTACATGTACATCATGCACGCTGAGGCCAGAGTTGTGTGTATCCCCACCATCCCCACTACTCTTCTCGGGTCCAAAACGGATCCCCGCCCTACTTGTCGTTCTCGATATTTACCCCGGGGAGCGTTTAAATCGACGACTTTTATTGCGTCCGCGGTTATCCAAA